TAGAAGAATTGATGCTTTTGAGTTATGGTGTTGGAGGAGAATATGAAAGTGCCATGGGCTGCCAGAAGAACCAACAGATATGTGTTGGAAGAAGTGCAGCCAGAGTGCTCCTTGGAGGCCAGGATGGCCAAACTTGATCTCTCATACTTTGGGCATATTGTCAGGAGGGCCTAGTCACTGGAGAAGGATATCATGTTTGGTAAGGTGGAGGGTCAGAGAAAAAGGAATATCTCCAGTGAGATGGATTGGCAAAGTGGCAGTATCAATGGGCTCAAGTGTGGCAACAATTTTGAGGTTGGCCCAGGATCAGGCATTGTTTCTTTCTGTTGTGCATAAGGTCACTATGAGTTGGTACCGACTCAGTGGCATTTAACAACAACAATTGACATGAGTCTGAGGCTGTCTGTTGTTTAGTTCCTGGTATGTGAACTTGACTCCAGGAATGAGGTATGAGACTGGGGTACATGGGGGGCCAGCACCTGTGTCCACAGGTCTGCCTGTCTCAATCCTTCCACTTTGTTTCCAACATTTGTATTCTAATCACCAATAATTATCAATACAATTTAACTGCATGTTTGATCAATTTCAGAGTGAAGGAGTTGGTAGAATTCTTCAACTTCATCTTCACTTGCTTTAGTGGTTGGTGTGTAAATTTGAATAATAGTAGTACAAGGAAAAGCTGTGAATACCACTACCTACCAGGATAGGGGAAAAATAACCTGAAAATATCAGGTTGTAAAGGATATGTAGAAATTAGAGCCATCATTCATTGCTGGTGGAGATGTAAAATAAAACAGTATAGCAGTTCCTCAAGTTTAACTTCAAATTACCATGTTGCTGTTGTTAAGTGCCGTTTGAGTCTGTTCTGACCCATAGTGACCCTGTGTAGAGTTTCCCATGGGCAGCTGGTGAGTTTGAACCACCACCCTTGCAGTTCAAACCAATCTTATGGTTCAGTGCTTACTCTACAGCACCACCCAGGACTCCAGAAAAGAGATTAAAAGAAAATAAAGGAGATGATTTACCAGCAAGGGAATTTACCTACAAAGGGTGAAACACAGCTGTGTCCAGTGTTGGCTGGCTGGATCATGAAGTTTTAACGTGCGAGGAGAGGGGGCTAGGATCTTTTTATATCATTGAGTATTCACGAATGTAAGGGCAGTTAAGGGTGACATGAGGAATGACAAGAGGTAGAGTCAAAGGTTGTTTAACCAAGTTGTCTAACCCTTCCCAAAGAACAAAGGGGTTTCTGGCCAGCACCATGGGAAGAAGGGCTGTAGGCTTCTTCCTACCCATGCATAACTAAAGCAAGAGAACTAGATAGCTGGAGGAGAGGCAGTCTGCTCCTTCCTAGATAGCTAGAACAGGGAGATGGGACAGGAGACATGCTTTTGATGTGACCTTGGCGTGGTCATTTTGAAGTGTTAAATTTTATGCCCCTACACTCCACCCTGTGGCCCCTAAATGACCCTTTTACAATCTTACCAAATTACCATATGACCCAGCGATTCATTTCCTAGGTATACACCTGAAAGAACTGAAAACAAATGTCCAAGAAAAACTTGTATACGTAGCAGCACTATTCTCATTAGCTGTAAGATGAAAACAATACAAATGCCCATCAGCTAATAAATGATAATAACAGGTAGTATATTAGTATCATGGGTTATGAAGTACTTATATATAGGCTGCAACATGGATGAACCCTGAAAACATGCTAAGTGAAAGAAGACAGACACAAAAGGTCAACATATTGTATCATTCCATTTATAAAATCAAGAATAGCTAAATATATAAAGACATTTTCATGATTCTCATAGGGTGAGGAAGGGGGCATATTTGCTCAATAGACAAGGGGCTGGCTATTTTTTGTGGTGTTGAAAATACCCTAGAACTAGATAATAGTGAGGATTGCACAACTTATGAAAGCACTAAATGTCACTGATTTTAATGGTTTAAAATGGCAAAATGAGCAACTTTGTGTTATTTGATAACAGTTTTAAATAATGAAGGTGAATGAATTAGGTAAGGATGGCATACATAGGACACAAGAAGCACAAATCACAGAGAAAGAAATTGATAAGTTGGACTTCATCAACCCCAGTGTAAAGCAATTCCCCCTTCATCAAAGGATAGTCTGGCAAGATGTGTCACCTGACATGTGAGCACTTGCATTTGTCAAGCACCTGCTAGGTCTGTATACTGGTCTGGGTGGTGAGAGATGCAGAGGGGTTGGGTTAGAGGGAGTGTTCCCACATGCTCGACTTGCTCTTAGCTGTGTGCTGGGCCCTAGTTCAGGTGATTTCCACACATTATTTAAATTAATTATAAAGTGTAAGCCAGTCTGGGAAGCTGAGAACTCTACTGAGAAAATGAGCCATACATGGCAGTCTAGGATTAAGAACCAAATAAAGTAAAGATGGTAAAAAGCTTAGATGCTTAAAGTAGAGCAAATGGTACATAGGAAGGCCATGAGAGTCTTCATAGAGCAGATAGAACTGAAACATAGAGAAGTCTTCAGCAGACAGGCAAAACTATATGAGGATATTCTGGGCAGAAGGCAGGACCCTGTCCATTCAAATGTTCATGCACTTGCCATGGGCTAGGCACTCTGCTAAGGCCCACGAACATAGTGAACCAATGGGGTATAGTCCTTTTGCTCCTGATCCTGCACAGTCTTGCTGATGGCAGTGTTATAAGTACCAACATGTACACTAGCAATGTTCATACCTGGGACTGTGCTGAAGAGCCGTTGAGTCAAGTCCTGTCTCTCTTGAGTACTTGCTATGTTTGTAAAATGGGACAAAGTACTTTCTTTTGTTTTCTGATTAATTCATGAAAGTGATTTGTCATCATTCAACATTTTCAGTGAGCTTGATTTCTTTGACAGCCCCAAAGATTACATAAGACGGTAGACTCTAGACTTCCTGAAGGCAGTGGTATAACATAAGACGGTAGACTCTAGACTTCCTGAAGGCAGTGGTATTGCCTCTACTTATTTCTCTCATCTTAGCAGATGCCATGTAATACAAAATTAGAGTCTATGGCTCTGCCTCTGGGATCCCTGGGCCTCACCCACCTTCATGAGGACTTTGCCAACCTGATTTGTCCCTGTGGGGTGTCTGCCTTTCCTGTCTGATGGTGACCTCTCTTGTTGTTTGTATAGGTAATGACAGTGCCGGAATATTTGAGGAAGCGGTTTGGTGGCTGCCGGATCCAGATCTTCCTCTCTCTTCTGACTTTATTCCTCTATGTTTTCAATAAAATCTCAGTGAGTTATGTAAAAGCCAGCCCTCTCCCCGCCCCCAGACACACACACACAAAATAGTACAAAGAAAGAAATCAGTAGACAGAACTATACTAAATTTGGAGTCCTGGTGTGGCAAAGTAGGATAAGCACTGGACTACTAACCACAAGGTTGGCAGTTCAGACCCTCCAGCTGCTCTTCAGAAACCCTATCCAGGGTCACTATGAGTCGTAACTATCTCGACAGCATTTAACAACATGTTAGATTTATACCAGCAGTTCACTTCCAGGGCCCCGTAAGTTACCTGTTGACCTCTGATATCTAGAGTAAAGGCGGGGAAAAAATCACTGAAACATACTTTGTAAAGAATAAAAGCAGAGCATCTTTTTTGCCTCTTGAGGCTAGTTTGCAGGTCTCTCCCTTGTATCCCCATACAATCTTGGGTTCATCCACATCATATTGTTAGGACATATCAGTCTTCAGCTTAAAACAATCCAGAAGCTTCTGCCGTCCTTGCATAGAAAACCCAAACTCCCTTTTTATGGCTTTAAAGACTCCTCTCTGGCTTCACTGCCTCATTCCCTCACCATCACCCACTAGCTTCTAATCACACTGTCTTCCCTGTTGTTTCATAGATGCATCAAGCTTATTCCCATGCATAGCTTTGTACATTTGCTCTGACCTCTAAATTCAGTATTCTTTCATGGTTACCTGGCCGACTCCCCATTGCTCAGCTCAAATACCAACTCCCCAGAGAGGCCATTGCAAGCATACCCAGCAAATCTCTACACTATTGCTGTATTCTATATTATGAATTTAGTGACTTATTAATGCTCTTAACTACTTTGGTATAAGCTTTCTGGGACCAAGGACCTTCCCTAGCTGGTTCATTGCATTACCTCTGTGCTGAAAACACACTTAGCACTCAACACAAATGTCACTTCTCACACTACAGTGGAGTCCTGGTGTAGCGCTGTAGGATACACATGGAACTGCAAACCAAAAGGTCAATGGTTCAAACCCACCAGTATCTTCTTGGAAACCCTATACAGGGTTGCTGAGTCATAACCAACTCAATAGCACTTACCAACAACATCACACTATAGGAATGTTTCCTACTGAGTGGTCTCATCCCCTAAATGTAAGCTCCTGGAGGACAGTGTCTTCTCCCTCAACATTTGGTAAATAGATGCCTGGATGAATGTTGGGTGAATCCCTCCCTGCTTGTGGTACCATTGACTTTGGAGACCAGAAGAGCAATGTAGTCAAGGGAGTAGTCAATTAAATGACATGTAGATGCCTCAAAATCTGTGCTTACAAAGCCAGGGGTCAGTGAATCCAGCCCGCAGACCACATCGGGCCAGTGGTCTTCTGTGTACAGGCCTTGAGCTAAGAAGGGGCTTTACAGTTTTACTAAGAACAACAAAAGGATTGTTTATATAAAGAAAAAAATATGCATCAGAGATGGTATGTAACCCAAAAACCCACTGCCCTTGAGTCAGTTCTCACTTAGTGATCCTATAGGACAGACTAGAACCGCCTCACAGGGTTTCCAAGGTTGTAAATCCTTTCGGAAGCTTGCTATTGTTGTCATCAAGTATCTTTGAGTCAGTTCTGAATCGTAGCGACCCTGTATAGAGTTTTTGAGGAACAGCTGGTTTCTCCCATGGAGCAGCTGGTAGGTTCAAACCGATGACTTTTGAGTTAGCAGCTCAGCATTTAACCCACTGTACCATTAGGGCCCCTGTGACTCACAAAGCTTACCATATTTTCCTTCAGCCTTCTACAGGAAAAGCTTGCTAGCTTTTGGTAAGCAAGCCTCTGCCTTTTCCCAATGGCAGAACTGCAGAAACAGCTCTTTGAGCACAATTCCCTGGGAGGAAGAAGCTAAATGAATTGAACTAGGTTAATTACTTTAACTCAAGCCCTAATTGCATCGACATTAGCTGAACTTGTGCATGGAGCACAAGCCTCCTTGCCCAACAGAACTTGTGTAGATCTAGCCCAGCATCTGCTAGCAATGGTATAGGCATACTGACCCTAGAATGCCTCTTGTAGTCAGCTTCTGAGGTTGATTTCTTTTTGGGTTATTGCTGATATACTTTGAAATCAGCGTACAGCCTAGTGACTTGATATCATTATAGGTGGATGTCTTCTCTGGTGCTATGTTCATGAGACTGGTTATGGGATTGGATGTCTACTTGGCCATTCTTATCTTGCTGACATTCTGTGGCATATATACAATCACAGGTGAGGTGCCCTGACTACACAGGTATGTGTTTTGACACCAAATTTCTACTTCTTAGTGGAGGCCTACCAGTCATCGTGGTGTGGCCTCCATCATTGGCAAATCCTCCGAGTACGTGCATCTGATTGCCAATCCCTAAGGAGCAGTTCTACCCTGTCCCATAGGGTCACTGTAAGTCAGTATCAACTCTGTAGTGGTGGGTTTGGTTTGGTTGGAGGGTCTGAACAGTGAAAATAGTGGAGAAAAGGGGATCTGAGTGTTACCCTACCTCTAGAAATTGTATTGGACTGCTTATGGTTCTTTGGGTAGGCCAGGGCCTGTCACTGTTGGCTGACAGGTAAAAGGATAGAAACATAGGAAAAGAATGGGATGGAATAACACCTTAGGCCTGCTGGTCAGGCCAGCAAGTAACTCTTTTCTATGGGCAGTTTGCCTTGCTATTGTGAGCAGATGCTCTTGTAATCCCTTTCCATAGCCATACTACCATTCTGGTAGGCCAGCACATACCTTTGGCAGCTCCTGTACATGAGAAGGCAAGAGTATAAACCTCTCATATGCAAAACTCTCCCAGCAGACTTGTCATGATCCTTTCAGTTCATGGTCAAGGTGCAATGTATAAGATTAGGGGACAGAATGCACTAGATTAGGGAAGGAGCAACTGCTGCTCCACGGGACATTTGGCAATGTCTGGGGACCTTTTGGGTTGTCTCAACTAAGGGCTAGCCACTGGCATCTACTGGGTTGAGGTCAGGGATACTGCTCAACATTCTACAATGCTCAGGAAAACCCCCCACAACAGTGAATTATCTGGCCCACCATGATAATAGTGTTAAGGTTTGAAATCCTATACTAAATTCTTAAAATCAATCAGAGGGCAGCCAATATCATCTGTAAGAGCCAGATAGTAACTATCCTAGTCTTTGCAGGCCAGATCTGTACAGAATTAGTCATCTGGATTCTGACTGAACCCAGAGGCTACACCTAGCTCTGGGGGCTGGGTATCTTAGGAGGTTGATGTCTACTCTGGTAGGGAGACCTATAATGAAAGCTCTTTTCAAAAGCACCAGCTATGCTGGAGAGGGGTAGAGATCTTCTCCAGTGCTTGCATACAAAGTTAGGTGGAGGACTAGGGTGGTGGGACTAGATGTACTCCAGCATTACTTCCAAACTGAGCTTTTGTGATTCATTATGTCATTTTTTGCTTAGGAGAACTCCCAGACTTCCATTCATTAATTTAAAAAAAGAAAAAAAGAGGTGGGGGAAGGAATAAAGGGACATTGGGGCATAGGCAGGGCAATATAAGGTCCCAGTAAAAGATCATGCTGTTATTAGATGCCATTGAGTCAGTTCCAACTCAGTGTGACCTCATGTGCCAAATAACAAAACACCGCTCAGTCCTGCACCATCCTCATCATTACTGCAGCCACTGTGCAACAGTCTATCTTTTTGAGGGTCTTCCTCTTTTGCACTGACCTTCTACTTCACCAAGTATAATGGTGTTGTTAAGAAGAATGGACTACCAGAAGAACAAACAAGTCTGACTTGGAAGAGGTACAGCCAAAATACTCCTTAAAATGAGGATGGCGAGACTTAGTCTCATGTCCTTTTGACATGTCATCAGGAAGGGACCAGGCTCTGGACAAGGCCATCATACTTGGTAAAGTAGATCATGAATGATGTTAGAAAAATAATGGAATCATGACTGACCATAATAAGTTGTAAAACCAGTGACCAGTTGCCATGAAGTTTTCTGACTCATGGCAACACTGTGTCAGCATAGAACTGTGCGCCACAGAGTGTTCAATGGCTGATTTTTCAGAAGTAGATTGCCAAGCCTTTTTTCCAAGACCCCTCTTGGTGGACTTCAACCTCCAATCTTTAAATTAGTGGCTGAGTGTGTTGGCCTTTCACTCCCTCCAGGGCCTCCTGAATAGTTGTGAGACCCACTCAGTTAAAGGTACAAAGATGCAGAAATCTGCACTTTTAAAAAGTGTGGAGAAAAGATGGTGCTTATATGTAGCTTTCTTCTCTCTTGCTCTTTGCCCCTTCAGGTGGTTTCACAGCTGTGATTTATACTGATACCTTACACGCAGTTGTTATGCTTCTGGGTTCCATGGTGTTAATGGTCTTTGGTAAGTAGAACTTAAAAATCCTGGAAATGTGGGTGAAATCTTTGGATTTTAAAGCTGCCTGGGACCACCCAGCACCATCATCTTGTGATGAAAAGAATAAGACCCTTAGGACCCTGAGCATCATGTAAGGTCTAACAGCAAATAGGGTATGAAATTTCTGCTCACTTGAGAAGAAAAAGGAAGAGCGTTACAGGAGTGGAGATCAACCAGTGCTTTGGAACAGTCAGGCATGAGGGATGCACCACACTTGGGCCAACCTCTGTGCCTTTTCCCAAGCTGTTCTTCTCCATGTAGACCACCCCTCTCCTTTTGCCCATTTGATTGAACCCATCTGCCAAGATAAGAGCCACCCTTACGGTATGAGTCCATGATGAGTCCAACAAATACCTCTTCTCATCAACCCTGATTACCACACAACTTGACATTTTGTCTGTCCGTATATTGATTCTTCATTGCTTCACATAAATGTCACTCTAGGTCCCAAACTTCTTAAAGGCCAGAACCATACTATCCCCCACACTTAGTCCACACTAAGGTATGTGATCGATGCTTTTTAAGTTATAAGATTGAAAATAGTACATCGTGTGAATTGAGTACATGGTGGTGGTGGTGGTGATGTGCCATGGAGTTGTTTCGAATCAGAGTGACCCTGTATAGGGTTTCTGAGGCTGTAAATCTTTACAGGAGCAGAAAGCCTCATCTTTCTTCTGTGGAGCAGTTGGTAGATTCAAACTGATGACCTTGAAGTTACCAGTTCAACTTGTAACCTACTATGTTACCAGAATTCCTTGAATTGAGTACACACTGCGTGTCAAATACCATGTTAACATTTATCTATATTGCCTCATCTGATGATCACAATCGTCATGAGATATAACAACCACTGTTATCTCTGTTTTATGGATGAAGAAACTGAAATTTATGTGCTTTATTCATGAACACACCAGGAGCAGGTCTTAGAGCTGAGCCTCTGGAACACCACAGTCCAGTATGTATATGAACTGACATCTAGTGCAGTGCCTCTCAGGGCAGGTAGTGGTTATGAATTGTGAACTGTAAAGTCGACTCTAACTTATGGAAGTCCTACTTGTTATTGAGTAGAATTGCTCTATAGGGTTTTCTTAGTTGTAATATATATATATATATTTTTAACTTTTTTCAATTTAAATAAGGAGAATTCTTTGATATTAAAAGAGTTAGTACAATCATACATTTGAAAGGAGAAACAATAGGTAGTAACCCTGGGCGAAAGGGTAAATGATGAGTGTCGCTACTGGACTGGAGAATTCATGATACCATTTTCCATCCTAGGTAAAAGTTTCCCCTAAATAATGTATAAACAAGTTGCACATGACACTTTTAGCCATCATCTGCCCTTTCAAATATCTGGTCTATATGAAAAGACAGAAAGGAAAGACCAAAAGGACACAAACAAAACAACCCTCTCAATAACAACAACAACAAGCCCAGACTGTTTTCACTATGCAAGGCCTGAAATTCAAAGCTGGTAACATAGTAGAAGAAAGTCATCCACACAGAGCCTTCATGGAAATTTTCACTCCAAGGCATCGTAACATGTTGAAGACGGAGAGCTGGAGACACTGCTACTGTCTTTGTGGCCTCCAAGCTGGGGTGGAGGAATGGGTTGGCCTGGAACACCACTGTAGCTAAGTACATGCTAGTGGTTCTGGTGGGTAGCATGGCTGGGTCACATCACCATGGGTTTTCCAAAGAGCTTGGGTTATTGTCTCCCAACATTTGCTCCATTCTGTCCTGGAGGATCTATTTGCCTTGGACCTACCTTACATTCAGAGAGCTGACTTTCTGAAAGTCTGTTTCCCTTCATCACAAAACACAACAAAGTACAAATACTCTAGTAAAGGACCCTTTAATAAGGTTTGCTCTGTAAGGAGTATAAAGGGACAAAACAGACTGGAAAAGATGCCTGCAACTGTTTGGTGGTGGAGAAGCACACAGTGGGGAGCATGGTGGGAAAGAGGTTCTACCAGGGTCACCACACACAGCCTCAGGAGGTTGATTCTTGAGTATCAGTCACGAATTGCATCATTAAGCATCCAGAAGGCAGATCCAGAAGTACAGGAGGCATTGTTGGTGACAAGTGATGCCTGTATTTAATGATGAGATATCCTTAGATGTGGCCGACATTAATTACCATACTTGGAAGGGAATCCATTTTTCTGGATGTATACTAAAGCCACTCTTCTTTTTCACCATAAGGAAGCTAAAACCAGAAACATATCAATTCCAAGTTTTAGACCAATAACTATATGAATGGAAAAGGGGAAGTAACAGTAAAGAAAAACCAACCAAATGTAGCCAGTACTCTAGACTGAAATCTTAACAGAAACTGATTTCCAGGCCTTTATTTCTTTCTTGGTACCTCTGGATGAGTTCAAATCACCAACCTTTAGGTTAGCAGTTGAGTGCAAGCCATTTACACACCCAGGGGCTGCTCAGGGCAGGCTCATCATCCAAAATAGAAATTTCCCTCTGCTAGCTCCAAGGGAGACCTAGTAAGGTTGGTGTTACCTCTGCTCTAAAGTAACAGATTGGTCTTGCAGAAATCTAGAAGGAAAAGTTCTTAGTAACGCAACAATTCATGGAATTTTACATGAGTATAATCGAAGGATTCAGGTTTCATAATAGGGTATGCTGTTGAGTCCAATGGAATCAGAACTTATAGACTCTAATGGAACCCTACAATCTGAAGTCTTCCCCACCAGCAGATGTTAGTCAACCATGAAGCAAAACCAGTGTCATGTTGTGTGACACAAAGTATATGTCAAGCATCATTCAAGGAAGTTTTATATGACCTAGGTTGAGCTATCAAACACAACAACGATTGTGTTTCATTGGCAGTGATGATGTCAAAAGCAACATTTTATAAACCTGGCAAGTACAGGTGAAAAGAACCTCCAGATAAAATAAACGTTAGGAGCAGGTAGAATATTCTGCTTAATGTTAACAATTGAGTTTCTAAATAATACCATATTCTTTATTGAGAAATTTGTTGTTGTTGTTGTCAGGTGCCATCGAGTCAGAACTGACTCATAGTGACCCCATGTACAGCAGCACGAAACAATGTCCGGTCCTGGGCCAACCTCACTACCACTGCCACACTTGAGTCCGTCAATGCTGCCACCTGGCCAATCCATCTCATTAGGGGTCTTCTTCTTTTTCTCTGAACCTCCATCTTACCAAGCATGATATCCTTCTCCAGTGACTCTTCCCTCCTGACAATATGTCCAAAGTATGAAAGACGAAGGTAAGCCATCTTGGCCTCTAAGGAGTACTCTGGCTGCACTTCTTCCAAAACAGATCTATTGGTTCTTTTGGCAGCCCATGGCACTTTTAGTATTCTCCTCCAACACCACAATTCAAAGGC